ACCAGTGCTTCCTCGCCGCCGTGCTACAGATCAAGTGAAACACCAGCAGGGAAGATGTGGGCGAGTCCGTCAGGACATGCACCGACTCGTAGCAGCCGACCGCCACCAGCCTCGACTTCGCCTTAAGCGGTAGCTTGGGGTCGTACTCATTCTTGTTGGTGTGAACCCACCTCGACGGAATAGGCTTCGCCCTCTCCAGCAGCTCCTTCGCTTCATCTCCGATAACCACGGTCACCGCCCTGAAGTTACGCCAGTTCTCCCACTCCTTGGCCATGCTCGCGTCGAACTCCTTCCGCTCGGCCTTGGTCAGGTCCGTCAGGTTGATCTCCTTCCCGCGGGAGCGTCCCGTCAACCACGCATAGGCTATCCAGCCGTGGCACACCTCGTCCGAGTCACACTCAGCAAGATACGCTCCACCGGCCATGGGGCCGCCACCACGATGTAGTCGAGCGCGGGTCCGCTGGGGCCCGTATCCAGTGAGCCGTTCAGGTAATTCGGGTTGTTCGGGAAGCCTTGGGAGATCTGGGAGTTCGGAAGGTTCGGGAAGTTCAGGAGGAGGTGGAGTCGCCGTCGCGTCGTTATCCTGGTTCATCTCCTCCACTTCTCCTTCTCCAGCCTCGCCAGATCCTGAATCAAGCCCGGCAGTTGCTGGGTCGTGTCCCTGACGTAGTACTGGCTCAGGTAGCTCAGCTGCAGGCTGGTGCTCTGGAACTCCGGGAGTGAGATCCTCTCCAGGTCGCGGATCATCTTGAGATGCGTCGCGCCCTTGTAGTGGTGGGCTCGCCGTGTCAGCTCCCTCGGCAGGCTGTGTACTGCCCGACGGTGCCTCCGTAGTTCTCGACGCTGGAGGCTCCGGGCGCGGACCAGTCGCGGCAGTAGCCGCCGTAGGTTCCCTGCCTGGTAGCGCAGCAGCTTCGGGATCTTCAGGTGCTCCGTCCTCGAGGCCTTCGCGACGAACGTCCAGGAATCCTCGAGGCCCTCGTGGAAGTGCCGCTCCACGCTGATCAGCAGGCATCCGATCCCAGGTGATCAACTCGTCCTCCGTCGCGAACCGAAGCTGCTCCGGCCTTGCCAAGACCGCACCGCCGCCATACCGTAGCCAAATCGCGTGGGGGCTCCCCTGCACGGCCGCAGGTCGAAGCGTGGACTCGATGCCGTCCGCCATCTTCTCGGGGTCGCGGTAGTCGTGGCCGATGACACGCGCAACACCGAACCAACGATGGTACGGGGCAGGAGACTCACCCGGCCTGACATGGGTGCGCCTGAAATAGACGTAGGCGCCCACAGGGAACGGCCCTCTCGTAGGTGTCGATCTCGCCAGCTTGGCCCTCCTCACGCGACTGTCGTTGTCCATCTTCACGAAGGCGACCTTGGCACACTCGCGCCACAACAGGTTGGATGCCATGGCGGACTCCGGGTCGAGCGCCGCCTCCTGCACTTGGAGCTTCTCGGCCTCCGAGTCCTGAAGCATCGAACCTGGTACCCGCAGGCCGCGAGTACCTAGGACCCAGTTGGCGGGTGCGTAGCCGTCGTAGATCACCGTCTCGTTGCGCACCTGGCTGACGACGCCGCACACGCTCCTCAGGTCCTTCTCCTTCGTGATCTGGGCGTCCTGCACCACGCGATGCCACACCTCCTTCCAGACGCCACCTAGCCTCTCGATCCTGCCGAGCTGCTCGTGCGCCTCCAGGGCCGCATTCTGGATCTCCACGCCGTTCTCATGCATGTGGGCCAGGAACTCCTTAGCGAACTCCTTGCCGCGGTCCACGAAGATGGACTGGGGCAGCCCAGCCCAGCTAGCCCACACCGTCAGGAACGTGTCCAACGCGACCTTAGCAGAGGGCGCGTACGTACCCTTGTGGAGATACCAAACAACCTGAAACCTCGTACCGTCGCACACTATGTTCAGGAAGGCATGGGTGTTGCCCTCGGCGTCGCGTGCAAACAGCGTGTCCAGCATCACGTGGAAGTTGAACTGGTAGCGACCCGGCATGCGGACCGGGCGTACATGCTTCGTCCTGATCATGTCGCCACAGGCGTCACACCTGAAGTCCCACACGCAGTCCAGGAACTCCTTCTTGGCACCCGACCTCCTCAAGCACCTCACCAGGGTCACGTTGGTCGGGTGGCCGAAGTTGACGTGCAGATTCCTGATGTCGCGCCTGACCGCGGGGTCGTAGGTGAGCCACCTCGCTCTGCGCTCCTGCTCCTCCTTGGAGAGCACTGGCTCGAGGCCTGCGGCTTGCTCAGCACGAACTCCGTCAGGATCCGTAGCGGGCCCGTGCTCAGGTGGACGTCCAGGTTCACGGAAGCCCTGACTCCCGTCCTCAGCTGGAGGACGCTTCGGGGGTTGCTTGCCACGCAACCTTCTCTTCTTGGCATCAGGCTGGCTCTCGACTGGGAAACTGTCAAGTACACCGAGACCTTGGGATACGTGCGTGTCGATGTCGAGGTCGATCTGCTGCTCGATGGCGTGCAGTACCAGTCTGTCCAGCTTGTC